CTGGGAGTTAGACAGCTGCAACGGGCTGCTTCCTGGGGGTGTGTAACAAAAAGGAGGCCTGGTCGAGGACCGGGCCGCGGGAACGTTAAGCCATGAAATCATCTCAGGATAACCACAAGATAATATACTTACCACAAACTAACGCCTCCATAAAACTGCAAAATATATTTAATTATCCCAGCGGCAAGAAGGATCAAACTTCATAATGTACGTAACACAGACTCGAAGACTGTAAGCAGAGGCCGCTAAGAACAGGGCTCCTGGGGGCCCCTCCTAACACCGCCAGGAGATGGAGGAGAGAATAAGCCTCCCAATTTAATACGAATAAAAGGAGTTCTTGCCTAGGGCTTAAGACGTCACGCTAAAAGAAGGTGACGAAGCCCACGGAAAATAAGAGCAATCAACGTTAATGGAAAAATGGTTCTCATTGGATGTAAAGGACGGGAGGGTTAGGAGGGGAAGGGAGGGAGGGGAGGTGTGGTAGGGATGGGGGTGTGGGTAAGGAAGGGGGAAGGGGGGAGGGAAGGAGAGGGGAAAGGGGGTGAGGAAGGGGGGAGGGAGGGAGGCTTGAGCTGGAGGAGAAGCTGAGTAGACAGAATGGCGATTGAAGACTGTCCCCTGAAGAAACGAAAATACTTACAAACACACAGCCACCGGACTAGGGTTCGAGTCCCTGGGAAGGCGGAAAGAAATGGGAAGGTTCTCTCTCCTGATGCCTCTGTTCACCTAGCAGAAAATGGGTGGGTACCCGGGACGGATGCAGTTCGACCTGGGAAGGGGCCTCGATTTAAGCCTAAAGTATATATATATATATATATATATATATATATATATATATATATATATATATATATATATATATATATATATATATATATATATATATATATATATATATATATATGTAGTCACCCCAGAAGTGACTCGAACCCATACTGCCAGGAGCAACGCAACTGGTATGTACAGGACGCCTTAATCCACTTGTCCATCACGACCAGACTAAGGAGGTGATAGCCGAAGCTATTTGAACCCCCCCCCCCGGCCGGCACACGGTGTGTGTGGGGGGGGGGTTATAGACCATTCCTGAAGTATGCAGCTCCAGCATGGAGTCCATATCTTGTTAAGCATAAGACTAAATTGGAAAAGATTCAGAGATTTGCCACCCGATAAGTACCTGAGGTGAGGGGTATGAGCTACGAGGAGAGACTACGGGAACTAAACATCACGTCGCTGGAAGACAGAAGTTAGGGGGGACATGATCACCACATACAAGATCTCAGAGGAATAGATAGGGTAGATAATTGACAGTTCATTTAACACAAGGGGCATACGCATTAGGGAAAACATGTGGAAACTGAGTACTCAAATAAGCCATAGAGACATTAGAAAGAACTTTTTTATTGTCAGAGTAGTTAACAAATGGAATGCGGTGGTGGAGGCAGGCTCCATACACAGATTCAAGTGTAGATATGATAGAGTCTGATAGACTCAGTAACCTGCGTTGATTGACGGTTGAGAGGCGGGTTCAAAGATCCGAAGCTCAACCCCGGCAAGCACAACTAGGTGAGTACACACACACAACAGGATAAACATACACATACACACACAAAACTTAGCGGATAACCAGGTATAATGTAATGTGTGAGCCAGAGGGGACTGGAAGGTGATCAGTCATGAGAGCCACAGATCACATTTTTATATGAAATCAAATGAAACGTCCAATTGAGGGATGGGTGAGGGCTGGCACACGGGCCTGCCGTCAAGCCAGCACCTGAGAGAGGCACTACAGTGCCTCTATACACTAGAGGCTGGACGTGTGTCCTCTCTGCCTCCAGCAGCCATTCTCTGTATATAGCTCTGGACTCTTTTTAATACAACCCTCGTAAACACCTGTTCCCCAGCTCTCCCCCACACCTGAGGGTAAAGAATGTGAGGAAGAGGCAAGTACCACATCTGGAGAAGGGACTTTGTAACACCACCAATGCTGATTTAGGGGTTTTATATCTTCCCTCGCAAATTGAATTTGTATGACCAGGCGACAGAACTTAGACAATATAGAGAGGGCGTGGGCAGGCTGCATATTTTTGGATTGTCAGAACACCTTTTGACACGATACCATACCCATAAGTAGCTAGTGCATAAGTTGGAGAAGCAGACAGGAGTGATTGGGAAGATGCCTCAGTGGAAAAGTGAGTAAAGGAGTACCTAACCAACAGAAGAGAGCGAGTCATAGTGAGAGGGGAAGATCTCAGAGTGGCAAGATGCAACAGTGGAGTCCCACAAAGCTCAGTACTCGGACCTTTGAGGTTTCTGATATATGCAATTAACAGTGAGGCAATAATCTCATTCCTCTCAATGCAAAAGATACGACGAAAAGGATTAGAAGAGGGAAAGAATATCTTCCGAAGATAGCAGGGAGACCACAAACCGAAAGAATGGTCCAATAAATGGCTACGAGAGTTCAAGTCATGTAAGTGCTGAGAAATGAAACTAGGTGTAGGGAACAGGAGGCCAGACACATATAGGTAAAGAAAAGCCCAATAGGCTCTGAAAACCCATACACCAGTCGATTAGGTGTTGAGAGACGGAACCTAAGGGACGTACTCGCAAGTACAATGAGGTAAGTCCACACATCTCAGGGCCATGAGATGATGATTAATGAACGGTGTCAGCCAGGTGGCCTCCAGCACCCCTCTGTGTCAGCCAGGTGGCCTCCAGCACCCCTCTGTGTCAGCCAGGTGGCCTCCAGCACCCCTCTGTATCAGCCAGGTGGCCTCCAGCACCCCTCTGTGTCAGCCAGGTGGCCTCCAGCATCCCTCTGTATCAGCCAGGTGGCCTCCAGCACCCCTCTGTATCAGCCTGGTGGCCTCCAGCACCCCTCTGTATCAGCCAGGTGGCCTCCAGCACCCCTCTGTATCAGCCAGGTGGCCTCCAGCACCCCTCTGTATCAGCCAGGTGGCCTCCAGCACCCCTCTGTATCAGCCAGGTGGCCTCCAGCACCCCTCTGTATCAGCCAGGTGGCCTCCAGCACCCCTCTGTATCAGCCTGGTGGCCTCCAGCACCCCTCTGTATCAGCCAGGTGGCCTCCAGCACCCCTCTGTGTCAGCCAGGTGGCCTCCAGCACCCCTCTGTATCAGCCTGGTGGCCTCCAGCACCCCTCTGTATCAGCCAGGTGGCCTCCAGCACCCCTCTGTATCAGCCAGGCTCATCACTCAACACCTGCCCCTTCACCTACACCCCTTCCCCCCCCCCTCCCTTAACACAGCCTTTCCCCCTTCCCTTACACACAACCCTTCCCGTTCCCTCTCTCACACAACCCTCTATAACCCATTCCTCATCACCAGCCTGGTACAAAGATATTATTACTTGGTACAAACCAACCTCTAGACATCACGGCGTGTGAAGAACATGTTGTTGTTTAAGATTCGTTATCTGGAACAAAAAGTTCCAAGTAGCATGGGTTATGGTGGGCCCGTACTGGACTGTGATTATGTGAAGAACAAGAGACTGCTACTACTAGGCTATCCATATGTTTGGCGGACTGACCTCACCGCTTCACATGGAAAAAAAAGTCCCCAAAATACAATGGGAGACCAAAACAAACATTTCCTCAACCACTCTACTTACTCAAATGTAGTCAATATCCAACAGTTGACGTGTCAGTTTGGCAAAATGTTCCCGCGGCACTCAAATATAGTAGCCTAGCCCTCCGCCAGGCGCAGTCGGAAGTGGACGCTAGCTAGGCTTTTTTTTTTTTTTTTTTTTTTTTTTTTTTTTTTTTTTTTTTTTTTTTTTTTTTTTTTTTTTTTTTTTTTTTTTTTGAGATATATACAAGAGTTGTTACATTCTTGTACAGCCACTAGTACGCGTAGCGTTTCGGGCAGGTCCCTGGAATACGATCCCCTGCCGCGAAGAATCGTTTTTTTCATCCAAGTACACATTTTACTGTTGCGTTAAACAGAGGCTACAGTTAAGGAATTGCGCCCAGTAAATCCTCCCCGGCCAGAATACGAACCCATGACATAGCGCTCGCGGAACGCCAGGCAAGTGTCTTACCACTACACCACGGAGACTGTATACACGGCTTCTTTTGGTCTTAAAGTTTTCAAAATGACACAATGCTAAAATAACCTAACAAAAAGTGCAACACTTAATTTACTCACCTCGTTTGTCCAAACTACTAATATTACTCGAATCATTTGGGAAACTACTTAACTCATTTTTCAAGCGAATATGGGGGGGGGGGGGTAGAAATAGCCTAAGCTACTCTATCCCTTTGAGATGTATTTCTTTCTTGTCTCAATAAACATACTTGAACTTGAACAAGCGAATTACTAAATTAGTTTCAGGCATCAAATCAACTAATTTTTAACTAAAAAAAAACACTACCAAACAACTTATTTTAAACTACTTTTCGTGTTATTTACAAAATCGCAACTTTCGTTTACAAACTTGTAAAACGTAGCACTTTTGAAAATTACTTCTCATCTTCTTGTAAACTACTATTATAATAAGTCACAAATTAGTGCAAACACCATTGACAATTATACAATGTTAAAATATGTCTTTCTTTAGGAGAAATACAACATTTGTTAATACAGGGAATGAGTACAAGGCGCCATACACAGCGTGACTCAGCAAAAGGAGGACAAGATGTGTATGACACGTGTTAATACAAGGTGTGTATGACATACAGGAGTGTTAATACAAGGTGTATACGACATACAAGAGTGTTAATACAAGGTGTATACGACATACATGAGTGTTAATACAAGGTGTATATGACATACAAGAATGTTAATACAAGGTGTATACGACATACAGGAGTGTTAATACAAGGTGTATACGAAATACACGAGTGTTAATACAAGGTGTGTATGACATACGAGTGCCAATACAAGGTAACCCAAGGTGTGTGTATGACATACATGAGTGCCAATACACAGTGAGGAGCCAGAAGGCACAGTTATATAGTTACGAGAGCAAGGCTGGTTCAATACATGAGGCTCCTGAAAGAAAAATTATAATTTATGTATTTCCAAGAATATATACATGACATAAACCAATAAAAAAAATTTAATGAAACATCCAATACATAATAAAATACCCAAATTAAATACAAAAGCGATTTTATTATTTTAAGATATCAAATATGATAAAATAACTCTGAGAGAAGAAAATACTAATTATCAATACAATATATATATATATAATCAGCTGCTTATACAGTCATTCATTATAGAGGAAAAATGGATCTAATGGTCTGTTGTTGTCTGCGGTCCACTATGCTCATAGAGGCGTTTGTTTCTCTTAATCGTCTGCTGGATGATATCGTCTGCGGGATGATATCGCCTGCGGGATGATATCGCCTGCTGGATGATATCGCCTGCTGGATGATATCGCTTGCTGGATGATATCGCTTGCTGGATGATATCATCTGCTGGATGATATCGTCTGCTGGATGATATCGCCTGCTGGATGATATCGTCTGCTGGATGATATCGTCTGCTGGATGAGTGTCAAATCAACACTTGTCCGAGGCTATGCTTGATGCATGTTGATATAATACTCAAATTACTTGCAAACTACTACTAAATTACTTACAAACGTTCACTAGAATTAAATTTTAGTGAACATGAGTAACTTAAAGTAATTTAATAATGTGTGTTTTTTTTTAATGGGGACAAATGGGATTTGTAATTATTTCTCAAGTAATTTTCCCACAGTTGACTTTTAACTTTTTCAAGTTATTGTACGAGAGATAGACATATTCATATTTATGAATACGAATAAAAGGCAGATTCATGCCTTTTACGCCAATTCATAAAAGGCGCGAGTTTTATCATTCATTTTTTCACATTCCTTTATAAAAATTGGGAACCTCTACACCTCTGGAACAATTCCAAAACTCCAATAATTTATTGAATGTGTTTGACAAGGGTTGACTTAGCTCTTTACGTACTTTTAAAACACTGGGAAATACTTCATCATGCCTTGGCAGCTTCTTTGGCCTGTTTGATTTTGTATTTCATATACAACCTTAAATATGTATGTTTTTATACAAGGGAACATATATGAAGCATTCTTTTTTTTTAAAGACGGATTCATTCAGTGTCTATAAATATTTGACAAACTACAGGGTATCATTACAATTGATGGTTGTGTGTGAGTCTACGGGTGGGTTGATGATGACACCTGCACCCCCCTCCCGGTGGAATAGACTATATAGACTATAGACTATATAGAATATATAGACTGGTATACGCTCCATAAAGGCACTATAGCGAGGCGCGTGAGGCTGTGTCTACCTGGAAAACGTAATCACTTACCCAACACCTGTCACACTTGGCAGGTAATGTAGTGTGTTAAGTGACCTCCCGCAGCCAGCACCCGAGCTACCACACCACCACCACGACTACCACACTACCACCACAGTCATACATACACATATATATATAATTGTTCAATAAATCACTGAAATATATGTATAAAAGATCTCTCACCCTGTCCATGGAGGAGGGAAGAACATGTACACATGCTGGTTAGCATTGTAAATGTGTGGCCACGTCTGTGGTAGGAAAAGCAAATTCCTTAATTGCTTCCCTCAGACTTTTAATCAGTAAATACTCGCGCGCGCACACACACACACGCGCACACACACACACACACACACACACACACACACACACACACACACACACACACACACACACACACACACACACACATTAACAACACTACTCTCTCTCCAGGGAGTGCAATCTGTGAGGTCACGCGTGACGTCACAGGTGGCCATATTTCTCGCCCCGGCACCAGGCACAGTTGCCACCTTCCTTTTATCGTTGAGTGCCAAGTACTGATGCCACACAGTGCCGCCCACTCGGTGCCTCGCCACAAGCCTCTCAGACTAAGGTCACTCTTACGGGCTAATGACTTGGCAACACATTCCAGTGAACATATCCACAAGGGCCGTGACGAGGGCTCGAACCTTCGTCCGAGAGGATCCCATTCCAGTGTTTGCCAAATTCCACACATTCCATTACCAACCCGCCCATAAAAATGGAAGACAATTACAAAGAAACTAAAAGCAATAAAATACCCAACCGCTTTCGTGTTCGTCAACACAACCCCATGTCACAAAAAGAAAACTATCATGGAGGGACTTGATCACAACATAGAAAATCTTTATGTACCCTGACATGGGGAACAGATCACCATGGGTGTAAGGACGGAAACTAGTACCTAAATATGCCTTAAGTATGTAATTTAGTGTCAAGCCAATGATTAATTGGAATAAATTAGCGAAGTACTGAAGACAGACATGACATAGCCTAATGTCTAGGGGGGAGGGGAGGGAAGAGTTTCAGAAACAAACAGCTGATGGAAGAGTGAGAGGCGGGGCTGCAGAGCTGGAGACCGTAAACGCGCGCGTTCGAGCACACACAAATGACATACAAAGTTTATTGAAGGAAGTAATCAAAATGCAATTATTACACAATTAACATGCGCAATGTTGCCAACTTTAAACTATTACCACCGAGGGAGGAACAGTCCGCCTCAGTTAAGTATACTTCTGCAGCGACCAGACTTGTTCCTTCTCCTGGGACTGGTAGCACTGCTCTGGCCACCAGGGACTGGTAACACTGGTGAGGTTACTCACGGTGCTGGCAACACTGGTGAGGTTACTCACTGTGCTGGCAACACTGGTGAGGTTACTCACGGTGCTGGCAACACTGGTGAGGTTACTCACTGTGCTGGCAACACTGGTGAGGTTACTCACGGTGCTGGCAACACTGGTGAGGTTACTCACTGTGCTGGCAACACTGGTGAGGTTACTCACGGTGCTGGCAACACTGGTGAGGTTACTCACTGTGCTGGCAACACTGGTGAGGTTACTCACGGTGCTGGCAACACTGGTGAGGTTACTCACTGTGCTGGCAACACTGGTGAGGTTACTCACGGTGCTGGCAACACTGGTGAGGTTACTCACTGTGCTGGCAACACTGGTGAGGTTACTCACGGTGCTGGCAACACTGGTGAGGTTACTCACGGTGCTGGCAACAGTGTTGCCCGGACACACAAGCCCTGCTAGTCACCCCTGGAAGGAGTCTGACTTCAGTTCCTTACCTAAAGAAGTCACTGATGACTTTGAATTCCGTATCTTTTTATCACCAAAGAGACAAAGAGTTGTCTCCTAGTTGCCTCAAAACCTTAAATATATTTATAATCAAACTAACATATCGTTAATTATGCGTTTGATAAGCAACAATATTATTTCGAGTTATGAAGCGTGTGGAAAAAAATGAATTATGACATTGAAAAACTCATAAAATTCTTCAATAAAATCCTTCAAATACATACGCTTGGCTTTACAGATTAATTAAAAAAATACAACGCATGTCAGACTGCAGGTAAATAATGCAGTTTGATAAAAAATTGTGTATATCTCTCTCTAATTGTATTATTACATTTTGACCTACACACACGCTTGATCACACACACCTTGTGTTTGATTTTGTCCCTTGGACTGATTTGATTTTGACCATGTGGACGAATGTTAAATAAACCCACCTACTGTCCACCCAGAGGCACTAGTACAAATACTATCATTCCTCTTAATAAGTCAGTATTTGACTAATATAAATGTGGCAAGAGGTTAACACTGAACTCTTCAGACGATGTTATAATAACCAGAGTTTCCTGTCTGGTGTCTTAACAGGTGTGTTAACAGGTGTGACACACCTGTCTGGTGTATTAACATATGTGACACCTGTCTGGTGTGTTAACAGATGTGACACACCTGCCTGATGAGTTAACAAATGTGACACACACCTGTTTATGCACCAGACCAAACCAGCTACATCTAGGTCACCGGAAACGATCGTCGGATAACATTTCGAGCATCTGTATAATTAATGACACTGACGTCACTGGTATTTGGCCCTGAAAACCACCTCCATCCGCTGTGTTGTGTTCTACCTCCAGGCGCAGGAGGTAGACTCACTTGGTATACCGCTGCCGTAGGATGTAAACTCACTTGGTGTACCGCTAGCGTAAGAGGTAGACTGGTTGGTCTTAGTGCATCATAGCACCCACTACCGGACGTTGGGCCAGATTCACGAAAGCACTTACGCAAGCACTTACGAACCTGGAGGCTGTTTATAACAATAACAACAGTTGATTGGGAAGTTTTCATACTTGTAAACTGTTCAATAAATGTAAACAAAGCCGTCAAAGATTGAGGAAAGATGTACACGTTCGTAAGTGCATAAGTGCTTTCGTGAATCTGGCCTATGGACACTTGGACGTGTTGATCTCGTAGCCTATTGTTCTGATACTTGCCTTCTCTACTTGAATTTCTTTTACCATATGCCGTGATTTAGAGATCTGGGAAAGCGTTGCTATTTCGCATATACAGTAAATCTATTAATGTTATTGGTGTGTGTGTGTGTGTATGTGTGTGTGTGTGTGTGTGTGTGTGTGTGTGTGTGTGTGTGTGTGTGTGTGTGTGTGTGTGTGTGTGTGTGTGTGTGTGTGTGTGTGTGATAAAACTGCATGCAATTATCACCAAAATCCCTACATCGAGCACCGACCCATCATCAGGCTTCGCTCGTTGAGCTTTGGCTCGTTAAACATAATCGTTTAGTATTCTTGTTAATTGTGCCTAACGCGCACAATTAACAGACCAAAAGACCGTTTCTGTTCAGAATTGGGTGTCTGATTTTCAGCCGCACTAATGTAACACATATTAGCACTTTTAATGAAATCATCTCAAAAGATAAATTAGCATTGTTAAATATTCTAACTTTGTGTGCAGTTAAGATCTAGAACAGTCCAGGTATTTGGGCTCAGCTGGCTATATTAGAGTAGGTGGGCGAAGCACTGGTCTACCAGGAGCCGGTCGGCCGAGCGGACAGCACGCTGGACTTGTGATCCTGTGGTCCTGGGTTCGATCCTAGGCGCCGGCGAGAAACATTGGGCAGAGTTTCTTTCACCCTATGCCCCTGTT